CTTTTTTTCCCAGCCTACGCCCCATGTAAAATCCTACTGCTCCTCTCTTCTGCCTTCCCCCCGCCATTCAGAGAGCTCCCCCTTTTTCTAATTCAGCACCCAGTGTCTTGAAGGCGCCCAGTATGCCGGCCTGTGTGGGCAGCGGCAGTGGAACCAGCCAAATGACATTTTCTCCTTCCTTTCAGGACCGCCTCTTTTTCGTCATGGAGTATGTCAATGGTGGAGACCTCATGTTCCAGATTCAGCGCTCCCGAAAATTCGACGAGCCTCGTTCCCGGTTCTATGCTGCAGAGGTTACGTCAGCCCTCATGTTCCTCCACCAGCATGGAGTCATCTACAGGTAGCTCTTCTTTCCTCCTCTCTTTCCTAAAAGTGAAAAATTAAAGCGTTCTCCAGACACTGGAGCCGACTTGGCTCCTGCCCAGCTGGTCTCTTAGTGACCCGCTTGAGATCAGTTGTTTTAATTTGCTTACAGAGGACTTGGGGGGCGGGGGAGGAGGGCGGCTGTTTATCACTGTGAATGTTAATATTTGAATAGCCCCAGGAGACAGCCTGCTTGTGCCAGTTTTGATTGAAAGCCCAAGAACGACATTTTAAAGGCCTGGCGCCCAACGACCTTGGGGTGACCTTCATTTCTTTCTCTCCCCACCCTCTTCCTTCAACATCAGGGCATTCTCTTTACTTTTTCCTTCTGTGCCATGAACTTCCTCCCCTTCCCAACCTCTTGTCGCTTCCTGAGTTTGTTTGGCTTAGTTGTCTCCAGCAGATAGAATCAGAGAAGGAGGAGTTGCTTGAGGGTCTCAGGGTTTATGATCCCGGCCGAGCAGGGGAAGGGAACTAGACAATATCCAACAGGAAGTGACTCTTTGCAGATCCTCTAGTCCCTTATTACTGCCCTGTCCCCAGCCCAAGAAAACATCACACACACACACACACACACACACACACATACACACACACACTTTCCAGTAAGGCAGCAGGACTGTTTACGCAGGCTCTTCTGTGAGGTCAGGAATTCTGGGAGGAGTAAATATTTATAATTAGCAACAAGGCCACTAAAGTTCCTTAAAATTTTTTCAGTGACTGTCAATTTCTTGGTTTTTGCTTTCTCCTCCTCTTTTTTATTTTATGTTAATGGGGTAGATTCGCTGGCTTGGTTCATCCCAGAACTGAGTCCCTCACAAGATCTTTACTGGTCAGTAAAACTCCCAGTCCTGGGAGCCATGCCCTGACTAAAATGTTCGTAAACGGCTCCTGACCAACTCCTACCGCAGGCTTCGCTTCCTGCTGATATCTCTCAGCTTCCTAAAGGATGAGTCTCTGCTCAGAATTATTCAGTGGTTCCCAATGCGTTGCATAATAAAGCCCACACTTTCTAGCCTGCTGTTCATGGCCCTCCACGTTGTGAGGTCATTACTTGTTTCTTAGTGATGTGTGACAAACTTCCAGTCTAGGAATCAATGGAAAAATATCCTTGGGTGAGGACTTAAAAAAAATAAAAAGAATCGCTTGATGAGTAGATCGGGCCTATCCAGGATAATCTTCTCATTTAACTCAAAGTCAAGTGATTAGGAACCGTAATTATATCTGCAAAACCCCTTTACCTCTGCCCTATCATATCGCATAACCAAGATGGTGATGTCCCATCACCTTTTCCACATTCTTTTGGTTAGAGGTAAGCCATGGTTTCCACCAAACTCAAGATGGGGATTATGGAATTATGCCAGAGTGTGAGCCATCGGAGGTCACCTTAGCTTTTGTCTGCTACAGCTCAATACACCTTTCTTTCTCACTTCCCACAATACCCGGTTTTGAACCCACCAAAGTTCTTAGCTTTCCTCAAACTTATCTGCCAATTCCCAACTTCCCTGTGCATATGGCCCTCCTCTCTACCCTCTCTATCCAGCCCGGAAGCCTCCTGCACTACTGCCTGCCTGCACAAGACCTGGTCGCCCAGCTGGAGTGAGCCTCTCCACCCCCTCACTGCCCCCCCGCCCCCCCCCCCACACACACACACTTTTATTTGCAATTTGAGACTTTCATGGCTGCACCTACCACTGTTCACCTTGTGCTGGGGTGAGGCATCCATGTGGATTTTTCACTAAGTTGTAAACTCCTAAGGACCATTTTTTTTTATTTTTACCCCTTAATCTTTTTATTTTACACAATTTTCTTGACTTCAATTAGTTTAAAACCCCAATCTCTGCCCCCAAAGCAGGTTACAAGCTAGTGAGATACCAGGAGTTAGATAGGTGAAAAAATCACCCATACTACAAGGCGGTGCACTGTTAGGTGGCATGGCATGAAGAAGAATTGTCATTCTTTGAGATGTCATCCCCATGCCAGCCCTATTAGAGTGGGCGGAATCATCCGTAGCTGACCAGCAGGGATTCAGAGGCTCACCTTAAATAATTTGTCCAGGGCCACAGTTGGTAAGTGACGGGCTTAGGAAGTCTGACTGACTGACTGATCAACAAGCTAATGCTGTATCTCCTGCCTTTCCAAGTCCAAGTCCAAACTCCAGCTTGTCATTCCAGGACTTGACTTTCCCTTACATTTCTACTTTTCTCCTCCTTTCCATGTTCCTAAAGGAATGTGTCCCTCTCACCACCCCTGTGAACACTTTTGCTCTATTGTCTTCTACGAACCATACTTTCTCCCTCTCCCATCTCCTTCTCACCTCTCTGACTGGTTCTCCTTGATCTCTATTACCACCTGTCCTGGTTCCTTCTTCCCTCCAACCCCTATTCGATAAATTCTGGTTTTCCCCAGGGCCTTCATCTCGCTTTATTCTTACCCTACTCTCCTCGAGCACTTTCAACATTTGCATGCCTTCAAAGGACTCCTATGTGCCCGTGACTCCCATATCACGATATCCGAACCCCAGTTGTCTTAGAACCCTAAACAAGATCTTTCTCTCAAATGTCTCTCTCAAGACTTGACCTTCATGGCCTTCTTCCTTCTTCCCTGGTTAGTTTGCAGTCGTTTATAGACTTGACTCACTGCTTCTTGGTTTTCTGCCCGTCTATCTATCCCTCTCCCCTCTGTTGTTGCCCAGTAGTCTTTCAAAGCGCAGGCTGATTGTCCCATGTTCCCTTCCTTGCGTCCTGCAACCCTTATAAGATAAAGCACTGTCCCCTTCACTGGCTTTGGACTCCCTCCCACCCGACCCTGGGGCTGCTGTGCACGGCTCTGTGGTTTGGACACAGGCAGGAAGAGCACAGGCATTGAGTGGGAGGTGGGGCTCTCTGCTGTGTGGCTGGCTTCTGCCCCAGAAAAGGGTGCATTTTCTACACAGAGGAGATGCCTCTTTGTGTTTCTAACAAAGACACAATATGTGTTAACAAGGCTCTGGTGGCCCACAACAATCCTTCCACTACTCCCCCTAACCGTGCACCCCACCTTCTAGGTACTCCAGATTATTTGCCATTCTCCCCCAGATACCATTCTCTTTCACTTTTATGAGCCTTTGTGTCGCTACTGTCTTTGGATTTTCCGTAATCTGTGTCTTGATCAGTGAGTAGCTCCCAATTAACTTTCGTGGTCTGGCTGCCTCAGAGTTCCCAGTTTAAAAAAATATGTAGATTCCACCCTGGAAGGTGTGGCTCAGTTGGTTGGAGTGTCATGTCGTCCCATGCACCAGAAAGTGGCGGGTTCCATTCCCAGTCAAGTCACATGCCCAGGCTGAGGGTTCAATCCCTGGTCAAGGAGAATGCAGAAGGCAACCAACAGATATCTCTCTCTCTCTCCCTCTCTCCTTCCCTTTCTCCCTCCCTGTCTCTAAAATCAATTAAAAACATGTAGAGTCCATAATATTGAGGGAGGGGGAATAGAGAAAGAGTTGATGATTGCTAATATAGGGTGATGATACATGTGGGCTCACTATTCTACTTTTGTGCATGTTTTAAATTTACCATAATAATAATAACCTTTTAAAAAGAATAGTGGTTCCAGGGTAACATTCCTAGAACTTTTGACTCAGTAAGTCTGGTCTGGGGTTCAGGACTCTATTTTTTTAAAATAAATTTTTATTGATTTTAGAGAGAGAGGAGGGGGGGAGAGAGAGAGAGAAAGAGAGAGAGAGAGAGAGAGAGAGAGAGAGAGAGAGAGATCTATTGGTTGCCTTCTGCATGGAGATTGAACCTGAAACCTGAGCATGTACCCTGACTGGGAATTGAACCCATGACCTTCAGTGCACGGGATAGCATTCAACCAACTGAGGCAGACCAGCCAGGACATGACTCTGTTTTTTAAAGCATTCCTCAGGTGACTTAGGGACCGCAGGTCTAAAAAAAATGCCCTTATGCCTTCAGGGCTATGTCAGATGCTCCTGCTCTGTGAAGCTTTTCCTGATGACCCAGCCTGTCATGGGAATCATACCGACCTGAGTGACATAACATCTCCCTGCACAAGGCATCATGCAGGTGCCCTTTGCTGACCTTGTATTTTTACATGAAATGCCCTTCTGTGACTGAGAACTCCACACTTGAGTGCTCACCTAGTGGGCCTAGGACAATACCCTGCTTGTAGTAGGTGTTCACTAAATACTTATTCTTCTCATCTCCAGCTCCAGAGCTTTTCACTCCAGTGGGTTGCTACATCATAGGTGTGTATTTCTTGAAAGTCTGTGTTGGAAGCATTCCTAACATACAACACACAGTTTTTTCCCTTGACCCTAAAAGTTCTCCACTTCTTTATATCTTTCCTTTCATTAATTAATGAGGATCATATGATCTCTATTTCCCATGATGCTTTGCTTTAAGCTGTCAGCAGAAAGCTATTCAGGGTAGTTAGTCTGCAGCTGACTGGAGAGGCAGTGTGTGTCCTATTGGCTGTCCTGAAGCTCAGGTAGAGTCCACATTTTGTGTGCTACGGGGCTTTATTTGGAAGATTGGCAGAGCCAGTTATTGGTGGAGAACCTCAATGCTGGAGTTGATACTGAATTTTCCAGCCTTCCTGCTGGAATTTACACACAAAGTAATTAGCGACTAATTGGCCAGTTTTCAAGAACTAAGAGAAGATGACACTTCTCTGGCCAGAGGCTCACACATGCAGGAGGGCCCACGCTGACAGGCACGGCCCCCTTTCCCTCTGGTCCCTCTCTGTGTCAGGCTCCCCATGCCAGGCAGCCACAGAACACTGTCTCCATGTCCCTTCCCAGCATTCTTGGGACGCCTCTGTGGAGGGAGGCATTAGCTCACTGAGAGGTGGAGGTTTTGAAGGGTGGGCCTTCTTTCCAAAGTTGGTTCAGGGAACTTTCTCCTCCTCTCCAGCATGCTCCATGCTCGTGTGTTTTTCTCTGAGCTGCTCAGTAGCAGTGGCTGACTCCCTGAGAGCTCT